TTAACCAATCAGAATCAATGTTCAATCACCAGGGGGTAAGAAATGAGAGGGAAGAAGATGAGGAACGTCAAATGAGAGATGACGACGTAAGAAGGGGCAGAGCCTCACATTCCCGTCGAGTCATCCAAGCTGCGGCTCAGATCTGCAGGCCCAGGCGTTCCGGAAACCTTGATAGAAGCAGGCAACGACGAGGTATGGAACTCTTGGATGATTATTTTGTTCCTAATAGTGCATTCCCTGATACGTACTTTAGACGTCGTTTTAGAATGGAACGACATTTGTTCAACAAAATCATGCTTGCTGTTTGCAACCATGATTCTTATTTTGTGCAAAAAAAAGATGCTTTTGGTGCTATGGGTCTACTGCCGGAGCAAAAAATTACTGCTGCCTTGCGGATGCTTGCATATGGAGCATCTGCAGACCAAGTGGATGAGATAACGAGGATGGGGCAATCAACCATTCTTGAGTCCCTGATGAGGTTTTGCGGAGCAATCGAATCTATCTACACCGCTGAGTACCTCCGCAAACCCACACACATGGACTTGGAGCGGCTGTTGAAGAAGGCGGAGATGCGTGGCTTTCCTGGGATGATTGGAAGCATTGATTGTATGCACTGGACGTGGAAAAACTGTCCAAGTGCATGGCAAGGCGCTTACGGGGACAGAAAAGGGGCAAAAAGTATCATTCTGAAGGCGGTGGCATCTTTTGATACATGGATTTGGCACGCCTTTTTCGGGGTCCCGGGAGCTCAAAATGACATCAACGTCCTTGCCCAATCCCCAGTGTTCAACTGATGTCCTGCAAGGAAAGGCACCAAAAGTTACATATGAGGTCAACGGACGTATGTACGACGGGCCATACTACCTAGCTGACGGCATCTACCCGCGCTGGTCAACATTTGTCAAAACAGTGCCACGTCCGCGGAGTGCGAAGGAAAAACACTTTGCAAGCTGTCAAGAGGGGTGCAGGAAGGATGTGGAGCGTTGTTTTGGTATCCTCCAAGCTCGCTGGGCGATCGTCAGGGGTGCTGCCAGATTGTTTGATGTAGAGTCGCTTCGATCCATCATGATGACGTGCATCATTCTTCACAACATGACTGTGGAAGATGAGTACGATTATGAAGCTGTTGATGAATATGAGCCAAACCCGATGAACAATTCAAGAACACGTATATATTGTGCTCATGACGCCACCGATGACCCCGTGCAACATGAGCCATTACAAAGGATGGACGTTACAATGAAAGGCTCATTCAACGATATACTGCATTTCAAATGCCAGACATGCACAATGCCCGACAAATTGACTTGATAGAGCACCAGTGGGCATTGAAACAAGCTGAAGATAATTAAGTTCATTTTAGTGTGTTATTTTGAATTTGGTATGTTTATGTTATTTTATTTGGTGTGTTTTATTATTTGGTATGTTTATGTAATTTTTTTATGTTTATGTTTATGTAATTCTTAGTATGTTTATGTTTATGTTTATGTTTATGTAATTCTTAGTATGTTTATGTTTATGTTTATGTAATTTTTTTATGTTTATGTTTATGTAATTCTTAGTATATGTAATCTATGTAAAGGACTTTTAATTAGAACGATGGACTTTTAATTATTTTTATACAAGGACTTTTAATTAGAACGATGGTCATGGTCATGGACTTTTAACAACATAAATAACTTACCAAATTAATTCTTAATATAAATAACTTACCAAATTAATTTGAATAAATATTCATGAACATGGAAACAACATAAATAATACAAACAATAAATAATAAATTACAACCCAAAGTGATTGGAAAATTATGGGCTCCGATTACAAAAAGTACTCTATTCATCATCACTTAACCAATTTGTGGTGCTAGGATGATCTTCTCTTGCGGTGCTAGAACCACCTTGGCTTGCTATTGTTTCTCTTGCACGCCTCCTTCGCACCACGTCCGCTTTCTCTGACTTCCAAAAAAATTTAGAATTTGGAGACTTCCCTTCTAAAGACATGTTCATAATCTCACGATCTTGTTGAGCTCGTCTTTCTTCTCTAACATGTTCCCTTTCTTGCCTAAGTAGCCTCTTTTCTCTCTCATTAGCATAAAATTCTCTCTCAACAGCTGCTGCTTTTGATGCCTTATCAGCCTTATCAGCCTCATCTTTCGCCAGTTCCTCGCCAAAGTCAATTCACCTTGGCGAGTAAGTTCTTCCATGAACTTTGCATAATCGTTCTTGGAAGCACTCCCTTTTCTCTTTGAAGCCTTCTTACCTTGAGGCCTAATTGGAAAACGGGTCGAACCCGACGCTTGTTCAGGGAGGGGCGTTTCGGGCACTTCTTCTGCATCATCTGCTCTCTCATGATCGGGTGTAGAGTGTAGAGGGGTGCTGTTCATGTGCACTTCTGGACCAACTGGCACAACTCTAAATTTAGGACAATCTTTGACAATATTCCAACATTCCCACCGGTTGAATGATTTATTTTTGCTTTTGGTTTTGGCAGCGTACCAAGCTTGTGCTTGAAGTTCCTACACAATAAAAATAAGTAACAAATAAATAATACAAATAAATAATTATAATGAAAATAAGTAACTAGCAAATATATACATATATATATATATATAAGTAACAAAGATAATGAAAATAAGTAAGAAGGCTTCAAGTTTAGTAAATAATGAAAATAATTAACAAATAAATATATATATATATATATATGTCATGTTAATCATAACAAGCAAATATATATATATATATATGTCATATTAATCATAACATGGGGCTAGAGTTCCAAGTTTAGTAAATAATTTTAACCTTAAATATACACATTTTTTTTTCTTAATGTAAGTGATATTATACATTAATTTTAATGAAAATAAGTAACAAATAAATAATACAAACAACATAATTATAATGTAACAAATAAATGTAACAAATAAGTAACAATAACATAATTATAATGTAACAAACAAATTAATAATACAAACAACATAATTATAATGTAACAAACAACATAATTATAATGTAACAAATAAGTAACAATAAATAATAAATTTTGTACGTAACAAATAAAGAATACAAACAATAAATAATAATATCTTGTTACCATATCCGAGTAATTTTTCCCACTTCGAATATTATTACTAGCTTGTGCCAAAGTGTCTCTCCACGTACTAAACGATTGGCTAAGTAATTTCCAACGACTGGACATCGATTCTTTGGTTCTTTTCCCACCAATTTTCTCAAGATAATTGGTATGAATAAGACTCCACATTTCTCGCAACTGCATCTCATTACCCGTAAGCGAACTATGAGTAACTTCAACCCAGCTAGTACACAACGCAACATCTTCAATAAGCGACCAATTCGTACCTGCACCAGTGGTCATTTTGTTGAAAAAAAATGGATTCAAACTTTGAGACAAAGAAAGGAATGTGATTGAAAGTAGTTGAGAAAATATGAAATTGTTGTGAAGGTAGATGATAATGAGAAGGTATTTATAGAAAAGTAAAAACAATTTTTTTTACAATTTTTTTCAGATTTTTCAGATATTTTTTTGAATTTTTTTGAATTTTTTACACTTTTTTTTAAATTTTTATTCAATTAATTAATCTCTGCCGTTGGATATAAAAAAATTTGAATTCCAACGCTCCAGATTGTGCCACGTGTCACAACGGTAACTTTTCAGATTTTTTAAACTATTATTTCATTTATTTTTTAATTTTTAAAGCATTTTAATATCCACCGTTGATCTCAGATCGAACGGTGGATATTAAATCTGACACTTTTTTTTTTTTTACCGTTGAGATCTAACGGTCCACATTAAGTGACCGTTAGGATCTAACGTACCGTGGGAAGCCACGTGGCTTCCCAACGGTAACTGACAAAACATTTTTTTTTTCTGATTATTGTGTCGGGACGCGCCCCTACGCGCGGGTGGGGTGCACGCGCCTGACACAAAAAAAATTAAATAATACGCTGACGCCACCCTGGCGTCAGCCTTGCGTCACTCCCACCTCGGGCTCAAGGGCTGGCAATCCCTCACGGGCCTGGCCCTCGGGCCTCCCCCATCCCCTGGCCTGCCTCACGCTGGAGGCCATCCACCGGCCCTCGGGCCTTTGTTCTGGAGACAGTCCCCCGAGCAATTTGCTACGGTGGGATTGCTCTTAATCGCTAAAAGACCGTTGCTTCATTTTACCATAAGAACAATATATGACCGTTGCTTCCCGCCACAAAACTCCTTAAAAGAACTGCCGCAGGTGCAGAAACAACACACAAATCCTCCTCCACATCAAACTCTCAGTCAATCCCAAATCTCTCATATATCTCTCAGTTTCAAACCATGAAGCAAAAGCTTGAAGGAACAATGACGACGACAACGACAGAGAGACGCGAAGGCTTTCAGAAGTACCTAAAACCAGGAGCACTTGCCAAACTTAAGGAGACTCCAAAGTCGGCCTCATATCTCAAAGACATCTTTGTGACAACCTCAAAACTGAGAGCTCTCTCTTACCAACTTCTTCCATCTTTGAGTTCTATAGCCGCCTCCTCTTTCGGGTCATCTCTGCAGAATCGAACCTATGTCTAAACCAAAGTGATCATGGGGTTCCTCATTTTTCTCTCCCAATAATAACCGTCCTTGGTGTTTGCAGCGAAAGAAATTCATCATGGTGAAACCAGTTTTCATGAATATTAAAGAGCGCTTGTTGTCAGAGTATTATATCATGTCCGATAATCTATCTTGGCCCCTAAAAGAAGTAACCTTTTGTTTTTTTTTCTTCATGGTTGTAGTAGACAGACTTCGGGATTATTTTCAAGATCGTTTATAAGTTTGATTGGAAACCGAAAGACATAGTTGGTTACGATTAGGAAAGGTTCAAGGTCCGATTCACTCCAATATAACCAGAAAAAGAACGATGCAGTGGGTATGAAATCTCAATTTTTTCTAAAGCTCAGGTTTTGGTTGATCTGAAAGAAAACCAAAAACAGAAGGGCATCCGCATCAAGCACCAAACAGATAGCAAATCACAAATATATATTACAAGAACACTCGACGACATATGAATAACAAGAATTCGGATCCTTAATTACATGATTAGCAGTATTATTAACTATGATGGAGGAAAAATGACATACAATATATAGATATGTGTGGAATGCTCTCTTTTGTTCCAAAATACATTGCCCTCTCATTTGTGCACACAAAGTTTGTACGCAGCTGAGAATTACAACGAAAGTGTCAAATCTGCAAATTTAAGACAGCACAAGTCAATGTGCAGGAGAAAACAGCCCAACTCAATGTGGAGGAGAAAACAAGTCCCATGTTGTTCTTTTAATCGTCTAGACCAAAGCGTTGGCACCCGAAACAATCTCCAAAATCTCTCCAGTGATTTTTGCCTGGCGCTGCCGGTTGTAGGACTGCGACAAGGTCTTCTTCAACTCCACCGCGTTATCAGTTGCATTGCTCATGGCAGTCATCCTAGCAGCAAGCTCACTGGCTAGAGACTCCTGCAATGCCCTCAAAAGCTGACTGTTGAGGTATAACGGCAGCAAGGCGTCGAGAATCTGAACCGGATCCTGCTCAAACTGCAAAACCGGCGTGAAATCCACGGTCTTTGTCTTGATGATATCTCTCTCCACCGTCAATTTCCCTTCCTTTGTTGTCAGCCTGAAGAACTCATCATCCACGGCGTCCACACAAACGCCATTGATGTCACAAATCTCTCCCTTCGGCGAGAGTGGAAGCAGGGTGTGAATAACAGGGTCGGATTTAACCAACGACACGAATTTCGTGTACAAAAGCTCGACTTTGTCGACCTCTTCACTTACGAAAAGGGAGAAAACATCGTCCGCAATGGCCTGCGCTTCTTTGGCAGTTGGGAGGTTGGTTCCTTCGAGGAACTTATCAACCGGAATGTATGGCCGGCGGAGGAAATACGAGTTACCCTTCTTACCGACACTGATGACCGTGAATTCGAGACCAAGAGCCTTCAATTCAGCAATTCTTCTCTCGGCTTTTTTGATGATCATATTGTTGAAACCTCCGCAAAGACCGCGATCCCCGGTTATGACAACGAGAGCAACTTTTTTGACAGGCCTAACTTTGGTCAGAGGAGCATCAATGTCTTCCACTTGGAGCTGCTCATTGATGTTGTAAAGAACTTCGACTAGGGTTTCCGAAAAGGGTCTGCCATTAACGACAGCCTCTTGAGCTCGGCGGACTTTGGCGGCTGCCACAAGCTTCATAGCCTCAGTGATCTTCTGCGTGTTCTTCACTGATGAAATACGCTCGCGAAGCTCGCGAAGACCGCATTGAACCGGTGTCACGGAGGATGATCGCGAGGCGGGGAGGGAGTTTTGGGAAGGAAGCTGAAGAGGGGCGATGAAGGAGCGGCAGGAGAGGGCGGAGGTGTCGGAAAGTGAGGGCGTTGAGGACGCCCACATTGTCAAATTTGAGCAAGACATGGTGGCTCTAGGTTCCAACAGAGTTTTCGGAGCTCGGAAATGGAGGAACAGGGAAGAAGAAAGAGGTTCTGAAATGTGAGGCTTGGCTTGTGAAGAAGTCATTATTCTCCTGTGTGTAGGACTCTGGTGAATGGAGGCAAAGAGTGGGGGAATGAGTGGAGGGAGAAGGGAGGGTTTGGATCAGGTTTTGGGATAAGGATTTTGACCGTTGGTGATCAATTGGGGCAGGCATTTAATCATTTCATGGAATGTTGATTCACATAGCCGTAGTTACGTTCCAAATCCTGATTTTCGGTATCCAGGTTGATCTTCTTCATTCATTCAATCACGCCGAGAAATTAAAAATAGAAGATAATCGTTGTGTATCTTGGAATCGATTACGAGTATATGGGTCCTAACGGGCGGATCTAATGGGCGCTCGTCAATAATTCACTCACGTGAAACTCCTAATATCTCTGCCATATGGTATCGAAGATATTGCGGCTAAGCCGTGATACTGTGAGGTATCTAATCAACACATTATCAAGCACTAAAACTTTCTCAAATGGCAATGTGTGATTGCGTTGAAAAACCACCACAACATCATCACTATAAGAGACAAAATATCAATCAACCCAATGATACAAGTGTCTAGTTTGTGCATACAACGTCAAAATTTAGTGTATTAGAAAGATAACTACATACCTTGATATGAACAAAATGTTGGACACCACTTGGCTTAAACGGTTTGGAGTCCAAGAAGTAAGAGATCATTTATACACTAATCAAACTAGAAACTAGGGTTAGTAAGGGTGCAGAGTCATTTGAAAAATCTTTTATGTTAGCCATCACTGCCGGAGTTTTCTACCGTCATTCCTACGTTCAAACATGTACTCGATCCTGATACACGCTTCCTGCGTTTCCTCACCGTCAGATTTGATGGAGGACCCAGGCTCAGTTGGTGCATCATGTCCACCGCTTGTTTCTGCGTTGCACCTCCCCTTATGCTCAGTTTTGCCTTCTTACAAGAGCGAACAGGCCGAGATGACTGCAAGTCATTGGCAGCAAAACTGCTGTCCATTGTACTTTCGTCACACTTGGACATAATGTGCAAAGGGTGATCTGGAGCGCATGAATCCAAACTTAACCATGACGAATTACTGGCATCGTCCAAGTAAGGAATTCTGTGAATATTGTCCTGAGGACGATAAGTGGCTTTTGGCTCACACTCCTTGCCATCAAGATCTGCCGTTGCAGGTCTTTTCATTGCAAACGATGGAACATCCTATAAACAAGAAAATGGAAAGTCAGAAAAAGGAACAAATGAGGACTCCCTTACCGAACAAGATTGGCAGGTACCGATAACAATAAGAGATGGAGGCCACGAGTACATTACTAGCAAAGGTAGCATTAATAACTTAGGCAAGAAGTAAAAATATTTGGTTCCCGAAGGCAAAAGAATCTTAAAACTGACCTGGGAAAAAAAAAACGAGAAAATTCACCTTATTCTGCATCTCAGATATTTCTTCACACGCCGATCCCCCCTCTCCTTCAGAATCAGTCATCTCCTCACACTCAAACTCAACATTTTCTTCATTTTCTTCATCAGAGTCGCTCAACTCTTCCTGTTCCATCTGAATATCAGTTTGAGACTGGTCACCTGTATCATCTACATTGTACCTGCTAATATTATTACTTGGTATAACAAGCTCGCTACCACTTGCTGAAGAACTTTCAGCATGCCGAAGCAATGAACTATTAGTACATTGAGTTGTCTTTTCTGGAGCGGTTATTATTGATTTATCTGAATTATTAACAGCGACATCTCTCCTTTTTGAAGCTATTTCCTTTTTAGATGTAGAACTTAGGTGGATGTCCAAGTCCAGTTCATTAGCTCTCTCATTAGTGCACATAGCCTGTGGATCAGCATTGACCGACAAATGAGTCCGACCAGTATCAGAAGGATGTTGGTCTTGAGAACGGTTTCCCCCTGAACCAGCAGAAAGGGTGCAGTTGAGCATGTTGTTACTTTGGCACTACTTACATAATCAGTTCTTTGCATCAGTGGATGGAAAGCAATGGCAGGAGATGTTGAGTTGGGTGCCTTCAGTGATTTGTCAAAACCATCAACGATGTTTCCTTGTTGAGGATTATGAAAAAGGCTTAAATGTAGCTGAGGCTGACTTGCTGAAGAAAACTGAAAGGACTAGAATTGCTGTTGCTGCAGTTCAACGGGAAATAGGACAGACGTCCATCTTCCGGGGCCTGGAACAGCAGAGGATGCATCTGAAGATCAGAATCAACATCTCTTCCTTCCTCTACACATTATCCTTGATAATTCTAGAATCTTCTGGATGCAACGTCGAAACAGTGTCTTTCAGAAAACTACTTTTATTCTGTGTAGCTGTTAGGGCATCAGAGGTCCTGAACCTTCCAACTTTGGAAAGTTGAGAAAATGGATTGTGTGTTGCAGCAGCACCACTACCACCTCCAGAAGCAGAAACTGTGGAAGATGCCCCAGGTAAAGAGCCTCTGAAGGCAGACTGTGAGACTACACGAACAGATGGTGGAAGATTCACAGGAGGCAATTCTGGTGCTAGCTTAACTAGTTGTGCGCCAGTTAGTTCTACGAGCTCGATATGGCCGATAATAGAGTTGAGAAACAGAATGATTCGCTTGTGTGGTACTGGATGCAAAATGTCTAACACCAGTGGTTTGAGATTGACCATGCGGACACTGTGACACGGTCTGGGTTCGAAGAGCTTCCTTACGCCCAAAAACATCTACCCATTCATGGATAGCACCTCGGGATAGTGTACCACTATTAGGGTTTCTTTCTACACAAGAAATACCGGTCTCCAATCTGCTAAAAAGGCCTCATGAACATAAGTTTCACCTGCATTATTGTCGGTCAAACCATCTGCACTGTTCTCTCCACCGGACTTTTCAGCTTGGCAGTCCTGCATCAGTACCAAACTTTAAATAAAATCACCATCCATTTAATGGGCTTTCAATCATCTATAATCCACGCTCAGCCTAAACTATAGGTGTGTGCAAAGAAAAGTTCCAAATGAATCTTTTTATACATTTCTGAAAATGAGTAAAATTGGACTTGGCGCACATTTACCACGCATCTATGCTAAACTGACAAACTTAGAGACTCTACGATGCACTTTATTGTAACTTTTAGAAACAAATCGTACCAAACGTTCTAATTCATACATTTTGTAATTACTTTTTATTCTTAAAGTTCAAAATTTTCTACATACCCTACACTTCCTAAGCCTCAATACATTCATCAATATTTAGGAAGCAAAGGATATACTTAGCAATAAGTCTAGCCACTACCCTTTTCTCTAATATGAGCAGTTTGACAGCCAACACAATGTTTTATTCTTATATCCATCATAAAAGAATTACTCAAAGCTACAAAATCAATGCAAATAGAATTGCCAACACAATGTTCCAAGCTCAAAGGAAATCATACCCCTTTCTCGGATGAATTTAGCCAACTTGACAAATCTGCATTTTTGTCCTTCCTTCTTTTTGATTCATATAGTCGCCTCTTCTCCTTTTTCGATTCATCAACCTTATATGACTTCTGAGTCCCAATAGCAATACGCCACTGCCGAGGCAACAAGGATGGATCTCTATGTGGGACAATGACTTTCCATATGGACAACCAATCATATTTATAAGCCTTAAGTCCCTGCGTATGGAATCACAATAAACCATATAGCTAAATGAGAATCTAATAGATAAAACTGAATGCCAATTGGAACCTTATTTGAAACAAGTCAACATATGTATATAGTATATACATATATATACACCGCACGCACAAGAGTAATGCTCTCAAAGCTTTTATACACACATAAATGTACGAATCAAGAATTACCTCCTGAATGTATGCTATCTCCTCTGTAGTCAAAGGTGAGTTTTTCATCCTCCGTACTGCCTGTTTGAAGAAATAGACAACTACATGAATTACTGATAAAAGACACAGGGTCACAAGTATACAACAGCATTATGATCTAAAAGTCAACAATTAAAACCCCCAAACCATAACTTCTTTTCAACCATAAAAGTTGATCAGATGTTTGATCGAGCATTTGACTTGTCATGCCTACCAATTAATTGAATTCTAATTAATGACTATAGTCACAGGAAATTATTTTCTACCAATTTATCTTGTCATCTCATTCCACCAACAATACACATGTACCGAAGTAATACTAATAAATAAAAAATTCAACCATTAGTTCCTCCATACCTTTATGGGATTTTCTGGTGCTTTTGATGAGCAGCGATTTTTCTGCCTAACAAAAATCTGTAAACAAACATTAGCAAGCTCACATTCTGGCTCAAGCATAAATTACTCAAAAACTCTGCGGTTGCATAATTACCTAGTGGTGCGAATTTATTTAATTTTTTTTTTCTATGCCAGCAAGGATGATTCGACTAGAATGTCCTATCCTATGTACTAAAACATTTTTGTCTCCTCATTAGTAGGGAGTGCACAAAGGACAGCCTTCGCAGGAAACACATAATCAGATAACCTGTTGTTCACAATACATATTCTAGAAAATAACCTGGTGCTTAGTTTTGCAAGGAAGAAAACGTTGTTGAATTGCCTTCCAATCCGTATTATACTCCATCATCCCCAATGCTAATAATCTGTATTGCAGTTCCGATATAAAACACATGAACCCATAAACTATAATAAACGAATACTATTGACTGATATCAATCACAATATCCAAATTCTGACAACAAAACCAAATCAGGATAAGCCACCAACTCAATAATAAAGGAGAACACGTGAAACTCACTCGTCTTCTGCATCAGTGAAAAGAATCCGGTTTGCAACTGCTCCTGTGGGTGGTTTATAGGGAAATAATGATGGATTGAACAAAGGAAAAAACCTCTGGGCTAAGTTTGATATGTCCTTTGGAACTAGAGCAAGTGATTGCTTCTTGGTACTTTCAACAATTGTAGCAGCCAGTGACTTTTTGGGTGGTCGTTGACTAGATGAAGATGAAGCCACATTGGAAGATGAGGAACCAGTTTCACTTACAAATTCACAAGTGGACTGAGAACCTAATGGAAAGTTAGGAAAGGGAAACAAAGGCTCTTTT